TAATATATCGCAACTGCAGTTAAAGCTATAAATCTCTTACATTGTGTCCGTACCACATTTCTGCATCCAGTTTGACATTCCTTCATATTTTTTCAACTTATTCTGTCAGATTGGATGGAAATTCTCTATAGACATTTCATTTACAGACCTGTTAACGATTTTATTCATTTCAGCCTCCCTCCATATTCCCAACCTGACTTCTTACCTCTTCCTGGTTATGAAACTAACACATGAAATCAACACATGATGACACCACATGCATCAAAAACAGTAGAAAAAAAGGCATTTTACAGAAATTAATAATAATAAAAAAATGCTTTGTTTTCCTTCCATGTCAAAATGAATTCTGGATATTTCATAAGACTCTTTAAACTACATTTAGGCTTTTGTGTTAAAAGAACCCAATGTGGAAAAAGAAGTGACTTCCATAAAGAGAATTTGATCCAGCTGCTTTCTTATTTATTTTTTTGTACATGTTCTCTAGTTTTTTGTTATCTTAAAGTTCACTACAAGCCTTTTTATTGTGCCTATTACACATACAAATGCAAAGAATCCTACGGAACGGACACACCCTTATCTTGTGTGCGCTCTGTTGCTTCACATGAAGATCCTACATTCTTCAATCTGTTGCCAAATGGACCAAGACGGAAGCTGCTTTGATTCTCACAGGCAGCCTGTCGTTTTGAATAGAACATTTTACAGCCGACTTGTCAAACTTTATGATTCGCCATCACTTTCGCACCGAGGGATCATTGCAGAAAACGGTGTCAAACACATAGTACCTTGCTGTTTAAAAGGTAGTGCTACATTGCACATTGACGTACTGTGGGAGACTTGTTTAGGATCAAAGGTTTCTGTTTTAAAGCATGTGCTTTGGTCAGGGTGCTGCCCTCTTTTGGTTGGAGGTCAGAGTGTCAACATTTAGGAATTTGGGTCTCACCAATGATGGTACTCAGAAAATCTGCATGGGTTAGTGATAAAACTTCCAGTTACACAGTTATTTCTATTTACTTCCCAACCCTCAAATGTTGACTGCCGTTTAACCCCCCTTATATAAAGGGAAAGTTTGTAACTAATTTGTTTTCTATAAGCTACACTGGAAAACAACTATTAATAATAATTTCTTAAAATAAGCGTATTTACCCTTAATTTAAGTAGGTAAACAAATATATATTTCACCAATGGCATGAGTAGTTTTACTCTTTAAATACAATAATTTGGTAATATGCACTTGGAATAAGACAATGTAATTGTTTTTTCTTATTTTAAATGTAAATTGTCCTGTTCCATTGGCAAAGTGTCTCACTTTCCTCCTCAGTTAAAAGAAAATAACAAAAAAACACTAATTATAAGAAAACTTTACTTTTTTTGCAGTGTAAAATTAAGTAATGCTTTTATAAAAATCTACATATTCTGCCAAACACTAATACCAATCCACTTAAAGATTAATTTGGTCCCATAGCTTAGAGTAAATTGTTTAGAAACACATAGGCGGTTCGCCCAATAGAGGACGCCATGTTGTCTTCGAATACAGTAGCTAAAAGAGGACAAACTTCTGAGCCTTGGGCATGTTCCGTGTTTGTTAAGACGTGTCGTCGGTTGTGGAGGAGTAAGCGAAGACGAGCATAGATTGTTCTACCTGCTGTTGAAATGAAGGAGCATCCATACTCTTTCCCATCAAGAGGGAAGATAAAGTTACCAAGAAAGAAAACAAATTCATTACTGAGAAAAAACATGAGTCTTCATCGACAAAACTTACCAGGTGCAAATAATTCACATGGAAGTAAGACATCAAAACGGACATGGAGTTAATGTATTTGATTTTTTTACAACAATGAAGTTTATTATGGCTAAAAAGTAGTAATTGGAGTCCAGAAACTACTTTGTCCTCTTAGCAGAGAGGATTATTTAATTGTTTATACCAGCGGCCAACTGTATCTATTAAGGTGTGTTTAAGCTGAACATTGTGTCTGTGGCGTTTGTTGAAAATACCTCAGACAAGTATTTTTTTATGCTTATTAAGACAAAAAGGTGACATGAAATTGATTCACCTGCACTTTGTGTTGCCTTATCCAAATCTTAAGTCCACCAGGAATTGGATGCCCCCTGTAAGTGTTTGTACCAAACAGAGTTCTTCTTTTTCCAGTGGCTCCACTCAGGCAGACAAAAGTCAGACTGAAGGTGTTTTTATCCCTGCAGCTGTGGAGTTATCTGGCTATTTTGAGCTATTGATGCTAAGCGCCGGACATTAATCTACTTTGTGAGGATCCCTTTGAAGAAAGTGTCCACCGGAGTGTCACAGATGTGAAATAAATGAAATTATTAAATATATGGTACACAGTCTGATATCTTTTATAGGCCAAGATCAAAGCAAACCAATTGAGTTCTATTCTACCTAATATGTTTTTCTGTGATAAACAGTCCGGCTGAGGGAATAATCCCATCAAGGAAGGGAGAGATTAAAAAGAAAAAAGCATCAGATATATCACATAGCACAGGCGGTCTGCACTGCTCCCATGAAGCACCCGCGTTACAGTATTATAGAAATTGGTAATCTTGTTTCTTGGGTCCGAGTTGAAGCGCAGACCTTTTTTTTTTTTTACACCCTGTGGCTTCATTTTTTTTTTTCTTTTAAGAATCAGTACCAGACATGTAGACAGGAAGACAGACACAGCAGCTCTCTAATACTGTGAGAGTCCATCTGCCTCAAAGGGCTCCGGTAACTTCCTGTCTTTGGCTTTTTTCGGTGGAATTTCGCAGTAGGCCGATGTATTTGACATGTTTGTGACAGCTTTGGTTGTGTGCGTTTCAAGCTGAGGCATCATGCTCACAACCTAGCAGTGCATTATTCAGAGAACTCATAAATGTGTGTGTGTGTCTGCAGGAGCCTCTTTTTTTTCTCCACAAAATAAAACTTGAAGTCTATTTCTTATAAATGCATTTAAAAGTATGTGAATGGAAAAATATGGGTTTGACCAAACATGGCTGCAAATACAAACACACACGGTAAGAGCAGAGTCTCGCCTTGATATCATCAGCTTCTGTCATGGGTTAGACTTTGACTCCAATGAATGCATGTCAGGTTGTCAATTTCTTCCAAAAAACCTTTGAATGCAGCCCGGTCATGAATAGTGCATGTTGTTATTTTATTTTTTTTTAGTCTCCAACCGTCTCCAGGTCTGTTTTTGTTTGTTCCAGAATAAGTTGGAAGGCCTGTACGCTCTCATGCATCCTTTAAGAAAACTTCCAACAAGAAGTTGTGTTGCTTAGCCTCAGGTGAAAATTCAAACCTGAAGGTAATTTCGTCAAACCGCCTTGAACCAGATGCTTTTGCCTCCGTTATCGCCGTCTTTTCATTTTTTGCCCCCCGTCTGTCTTCGACCCTCAACCCTTCCCCACTTGCCCTGGTTCAGATCCTTCCCTTCCATGAGTCGGGACACACAACCTTTTATGAGTGCACTGTAACGTTTACCAGGAAGACATTTATTTCACTCTTAAAAGTCGGAGAAATATTTTGGCAGCTGTCTCCCATATTCCCTGCAGCGTGCCACATAAGGTCTTTGGCATTATCAGGGAAGGCAAAATGTTGGACGCATGCTGTTAACGTCACTAAAATATACACATGGCTCCCCCCCCCCCCCCCCCCTAAACTGTTACAAATGTTTGGTCGTTGAAGAGCATGCCATTCATCTTTAAAGATGTAAAAAGTCAGTGGTGCGGCGGCGACATTTCACCTCCCTGCTGCAGGAACACCATGCAGAGTGTGAGTGTGCACCTGTGGAGAATGATTGTCTACATATGAACATAGATACAGCGCTGCTGTGCACACATATCCTCCTCCTGTGAGAGAAGAAGAAAGGCAGAGAATTATGACTTGAGTCGGCAGTATTTTGTGTCGGTTGCTGTCTGATGAAACGTTGCCCCATGAACATGTTTTACTCCAACAGTTTGGGGTTTTATTTTAGTTGCTCAGTAGGGCGTGTGTGTATACAGCCAAAGAAAGCACCATCTTTAGTTAGGCATACTGCTAGAGATATGCGTCCAAACAATGTTTTTTATAAGCATTATCTCACGGTAAGAACATCTCTGACTATTACAATTTTCTCAGTAACAAAAATAAAAAAATAATTAAGTGGAATATTTTTTAGAACTTCATAAAATGTTTTGCCAGTAGAATATAATTTCTCAGTGTTAGTGGGGTTTTTTGTACATTCTAGTTTATACAATCTATCACCCAGAGACGTGAGTTCTACTAGATTCTGAGGTTTTCTATAGAACAAGGTTGATTTAAATCATAAAGACCCCCAAAAAACACATCTCTCCGTAGTTTATCAAGTTATGCACTCTTACCAGTTTGTCAGGCTCATATTACCAATCCATCACTATACTTAACTTTGGGCATTTTATGCATTTCTCAGTATTCGTCCTTTGTTCTGTAGCAGACCCAAATGGAGATTGGACTTTTTCTGTTGTGAAAAAGCTGAATCTTAGTATCATCTGACAAAGCAAATGCAGTTGGAACTCAGTAGTTGTAAAAGAACTACATCTTTTTGCCAAATAAATGCCATCTTTTTCACATATTTTTTTCATTAAGTTTCACTTTGGTTATATAAAACCAGTGATTCCCAAAGTGTAGGACATTGTAGAAATAAACTGAATCAATGACCAACTTTGGAAATCATTTCAAATGAACCTCAGTTGGAAGATCTTGAATTATGTTATTATGTTATTTATTTGTATTGATTAATAACTATTTTGTAATTTAAAGGGGATTTTAGTTTATTTTGTTGGAATATGTTTGGTTAGAGGACGGCACTAAAACATTCTTTTAAATTTAAAGGTGGCCCAACAAGAAAAGTTTTGGAACCACTGTGTTCAAGTGATTTTTACTCTTCTGAGAAATGCTTTGACAAAAGACAAAGGTGTGAACAGATAGACAACATGTGGGGGTGGGGGGAGGGTACATCTTCATTCCTTTAAATAATCTGTGTTTTTTACAGAGGCGTAGGCTACAACAGGAGTTGGGAGGCCGGAAGATCCCCTTTCTGGGACCGTCTGCTCGAGGTTTTCAGCAGTTGGTGAGTTGGTCCCTTATTTTGACGGCACCATCATGCTTTAAACCCTATTGATTAACACAAATAGATATTGTCTTCTTTTAGTGGGATTCCAGTTACTCCGGCTTAGCCTTGAGGAAGTCATGTTCACTTCCTGCTGAGCTCCACAGCCGGGTTCAGGCAGCTCTGCTCACCCTCAGAAGGAAAGGCTGCCTCCTGAAGGATCTGGTTCGCATTCGCGATCGTGATGTTTTCACCGCTGTGTCGCGGGCGCTGGTCGGGGAGCCAGGCCACACCTACCGCTATCTGGACACGCGGCTCTTTGCCATTCCTTGGCACAGTGAGGACACCGAGGTCAAAAGGCAAAACTGTTGTGATCCCGATTTGAGGGACGCTTGCAAAGCATTGTGGGAGCTTAATACATTCCTTTGTTCTGATGTGTCTCAAATGAAGGAGGGAGACCGGCTAGCACAATGTATGAAGGTGGAGGGAGAAACAAACCAAGTGGAAGAGGGTGAGACAGAGTCTAAACACAGTGAAGACTCCAAGAATAGTGAAGGAGGGGACTCAGAGTCCAGACAAAGTGAGGAGGGGGACACCGAGTCAAAACACAGCGAGGAGTGGGACATTGAGTCTAAGCACAGTGAAGAAGGAGGCTCTGGGTCAAAAAAAGACGAGGGCTGGGAGCCTGAGGAGGGCGAGTCCTCCCAAGTCAAACCCAGTGAAGCTAGTATTCCAGGAGTTTCAGGTCACAGTGAAGGAAAATGTACCGGCTGGACAACCAAGGCCTTCAGCGGGACAAAGGCTGAACCTGTTGGACTACAGGCCCAGGAGAAGACTGTGGCTCAACTAAAGCACAGTTTGTCAGATGATCACATTCAGGACAAAGGAATGAGCTGCTCCCAGCCCAGTTCCCCACAGGAGTGCACCGGCCCAGTCAAGTTCAACGTCACCCTACTGAACTACATGGACCCAGCACAGATGAGCCATCTCAAAGAGGAACCCTACTACGGCATGGGGAAAATGGCCGTCGGGTGGCACCATGACGAGAACCTGATCACTCATTCGCCAGTAGCGGTATACAACTATAGTTGCCAGGATGATAAAGGTAAGGTTAAAGAAAAAAGAGAAAGAAAATAAATGTAAAAAATCTGTGATTTACTTAAAAAAGTACATCTAAAAACATTGAATATCCTGAAAATGTTTAATATTTTTGTGACAAATATCAGAATAAATGACAAATTTATTGTATTTCCCTCTTGGAATAATAAAGTTTATTGAATTAAAACAAAACTGGCTAGACTGCAACCCCATAGATTCCCTATGGGGTTCAGGTTACGAAGAAGAGACACCCCCACCCAATAATACAGATGACCTAAAGGCCTCCACTAAAGCAAACCAGGTTTCCATCAAGGATTTGGCTAAAGGCGGGCATTTTAAATAGAGCATTTTTTCCCTTTTCCAGTCATGAGAGAATTTGTTGGATCGGGTTGAGTTTCAGCCTCATCATAGGTCCTGCGTCATGTAGTATACAGGGGGTAGCGAGGGGCGATGAGCCTCTCACGACCACCTCCCGATCGCAAATCTTAAGTGTCGGGAGAAAATCAAACATGTTTGAAATTCCGTCGGACCTCGTCGGATGTTCGTGAGCAAATCCTGCTGTTGAAGCTGGCCAATTTACCAGAACCTTGCACACTATGCATGTGTAAAATCTTCTTCCAGATTGAAGAGTCCATGTGGTTTTTAGACGTACAGTATTAGCAGGTAGATCGCATCAGAGCATCGGGCCGTACAGTTTAAGAAAAAACATTGTGAGCTCTGAACTTTAAAATCCTGGGGTTTTGTCCTACAGTTTTAGCTGTAACTGTGTACAATGATTGGAAATGTTGCACTGCAAAAACAATCTAGAAATGAGCAAAAATGTCTTAAATTAAGTGTATTTACTATTAATTTGAGTAGGTAAATGAAATCATCTGCCAATGGAATGAGTATTTTTACTCTTCAAATAAGATAATCAGATAATATGCACTTGAAATAAGACAATGTAGTTGTGTTTTCATATTTTAAATGTAAATCATCTAGTTCGATTGGCAAAATGTTTCTTTTACCTCCTCAATTCAAGAACAAATGCACTTGTTCTTAGAAAAAATTACTTATCTAGATTTAGATTTTTTTCCACAGAAGTGTTTGGCTGCCTTCATGCTTAACAGAAGGAAATCTCATTTAAGTCATGTCCTGTTGGTTGTGAAACTTTTTTACAATGGTTTTTCCTTCTGTTTAACTTTCCATTAATGTGCTTAGATACAGCACTCTACAAACAGCTGCTCCTTTAGCATTGGCCTTTTTGTGGCTTACCCTGCAAATAGAGGTTATAATTGACTGTCTGATGGACTCTGTCTGTCAGGTCAGCAGTCATACCTATGGTTTTGTTGGTACTAACCTGGCTCTTCAAAAAGAATAATCTATTAAATACATTTTTAAAAAACGTTTCCATAATCAGAAGCATCTGTCTACTCAGTGAAATTAAACACCTTTTACACTTTTCACTAATTAATTCTACATTAAAATGCAAAAAATCTACTTTGATACTGCAGATAAAGAGTAATTTTTGTCTTTTTCTTCGATAATAACCGAGGTCACTTATCTCTGTTGCTGTGCGGTGGATCAGAGGCAGGTAACCTTGTGTATTAAGGCCCTGCAGCAGCAGCTGCAGACACGGCCTCTGGTGAGGGAACCATCAGATCCATCTACGCGATAGTGTCAGGGCATTATCAAATGTCATCACCAGTTCGCCGCTGACAGTCTTATCGCAGCCTGTGCGTTAGGAGATCACAGACATTTGAATCTGGGCCCTTAACATGGGCTCAATGGTGCAGTATAACAAACAGACCTTATCACAAGCGCTACATCTCATCTAAATCATTTCCCCCAGAAATGATCGATGTGCAATTATCTGATACGGAATAATGAGCCCCGCTTTGATAAGTGTTCTTAGACTGTAGCTCTGGATAATACGATGTCTCCTAATTACCCATCGCATACACTCTCGAAAGCTAATAGTGTTTGCTGATTGACCTGATAAAGAGATGGAGAAAACTTTGCTTACTAGAACAGATGCAAAACAAACTATAGGATAGGATTTAGCTGAAATAGGTGTTTTATGTTAATTGTGGCAAGTCGAAGGAAGATGTTTGTTTAAAACACCAGAAGAATGTCATGCTTTCAGTACTCTTTAAAGCAACTTTTTCACAAGGCTTCTCTGCCTAGACTGAAAATGCTCAGTCACATTAGATCATTTGTGAAGTGTTTTCAAGGTCACAGATTCTCTGTTAAACTTTCAACACCTTCCTACACATGGATAAGCCTTAACTGTAGCTCTGGCTATACTCTCAGGGGAAATGCAGACTTCCTTATATTTTACCCTCATCCTCCTTCCTATCAACTCTGACTAAGTGGTTATTGAAGAAATCCTGCAAGAGGATGCTGCCAACACCATGTATCACATTGGCTACTATTGTGTTATAGAAAAAAGAATAATTGACTTGGTAAGAATTCTGGTTACATCAGCCCTAATCAGCTCATCAGAATGCTTATAATTTAGAATTTTACTTTTTTAAGGTATATTTTGTCTTGATTTTGTTAGAAAACACATTAGATATGCTTGAATATATTGTTAAAGGAATAGTACACCCAAAACATGATTAGCCTTCATTTTCTACTCACCCCCATGCTGAACAACACTCTGGAGTACTTTTTTGATATCTCAAATGCATCTGGAGATCTGGGAGGCTTCTTGCTGTCTGCTGACATTCAAATAATGGAGGTCTATGGTGCCCGAGGCAGAAAGGTCCATAAAAGTCCACAAAAAACGTGTCAATATTCCTCCATACTGCTCGTCCAATGTATTCCAAGTGTCCTGAGTGGGTAGCATCCAGAATTTACTCGAAACGAAGTCATTTATAATTTTTTGAGAGCCTAAACAGTAGTGTATAGGATTTCCTGAAAGCGCGCGCCAGCGCGTTCAGGACGCTAAGGAAGTCGGCAGACCAAACCAGATGAAAGTGTGCATTCAGCGTCTGCTCTGCCGATAATGCAAGCGTAGAAGAAGAAATGTGCTGTTTACCTGTGCAAAGAAAGAAACAACGAAAGAAAAATGTCTGAGGACTTCAGTTTTGAGGAAGAGCATGAGTTCTTTGCCGAGCTGAATGCGCACTTTCATCTGGTTTGGTCTGCCGCGGTTTCCGTAGACTCGTGAACGCGCTTTTAGGAAATACTATACACTACTGTTTATGCTCTAAAAACATTCTAAATGACTTCGTTTCGAGTAAATTCTGGATGCTACCCACTCAAGACACTTGGAATACATTGGACGAGCAGTATGGAGGAATATTGACACGTTTTTGTGGACTTTTATGGACCTTTCTGTCTCGGGCACAATAGACCTCCATTATTTGAATGTCAGCAGACAGCAAGAAGCCTCCCAGATCTCCAGATGCATTTGAGATATCAAAAAAGTACTCCAGAGTGTTGTTCGGCATGGGAGTGAGTAGAAAATGAAGGCTAATCATGTTTTGGGTGTACTATTCCTTTAAATGTGATAATTTTCGTCTAAATCTATACAGGTAAAATATTTCGATACATTAGCTGGTACATTTGACTTTAAGTGTTGGATTTGTGTTTGTTGGGCTTTAGACTCTATTTACTTTTGGAATATAAGTGATTGCATTTTATTCAGGGATAGCAAGATAGAATGCAATGTGTAAAAAGGTCAATAGCACATATCGTCTGTATTTCGCTTCACACTTGTGGCCTACCCTCTGTCTGTCCCTGAAGAATCCTGTAAAATGAACAATTTTAGTTGTAATGTAGCAAATCTGAGGATGTTTAAGGGATATTGATGCAATTTCAAACTAATCGCACTTTCTTCATGCACTTGTCCTGCATGTCGCCACAATCTGCATGTCGAGTTTCTGCGGCGCCAGCGTCACGCCACGTGCGATTCAGATTGCTCTGATTTCCCGATCATTCCCCAGCTGGGCTGTCTGCATTACCCTTTCATATGGAGTAAAACATGTTCCAAAGGGCTGTTTTCTTAATCTACTCAGGACTATTTCAACTCTGACCCTCTGAACACAGGCTTCAAACATGACACCTTACAGCTGCGGATGACCCCCCACTGCTCCAAGCTTTAGTGTGGATACTTTGATGAGAATGAAACAGAAGTGTGTTCCAGTTGTCAGCTCTGAGATTTCCCAGACCAGCCTATATGTGCCTTTAAAGGCCTCTTTTTTAAAGAACACAATGCACTTTGCTGTAACTATTACAAACACGCTCTCCTTCTGTTATAGCTTTAGATCAGGGTGTGAAATTTTCTTCTCCAGCTCAGCTGCCTCACCTTGTTATATCCTTTGACCAGAAGTTGTAGTTTTTTCTTTTTTTTCCTGACTCCTCCGATCCAAAGGAATCTGCAGCGACTGAGTGTTTTCCGGCACAGAGGATGGACTTGCTCTATTCTCTAAGCCTTCTGGGAGTGCTGTCATTAGCCGGCTCTCAGAGCACAATGGCTGGAAATTAAGTTACTATTTATCCGTGCTGAGCAAAGGAAAAGGCAGCCACGGGGCAGAGAGGCCTAGAAAGACTTTAGTATTGATTTTGCTGAAGGGTGTCGGCTGGCCAGGAGAAATCTTGTTTTCCTCGGATGCTGTGTAAGAACTGAGGGAGAAAGGGAAGAACGGGCGAGGTGGTATCAGTGAATGGGTTCATCAACAGGAGTATCACAGGATACATGCGCTCGCACACTCACTAAACAACATCAGAGGCTTTTATCCAACTATTTCCTCTTGCACAGCATAATGATAGCATAAAGATCCTGTGCTAACAGCCAGTTATAACCACAGAAACACGTATCATCTTTGCTCAGTTGTTAAGTGATTCTTACTTTCTGGAGACAAGGCCTTACATCTTACATCCATTTTTTGGCTGGTATTGATTTAATTGTTGCAGTCCAGACTTTTATCATATTAATTCTCAATATAATTTTTGTGTTATTTTATGAGAGCGGTGGTGCGTGTTTATGGAGTTGTACCATTTTTCCGCTGTGTCCTTCCAAGAGAAATGCTCGCGATTCTGCTGAGACAAAACTTACTGGTTTTTCTTTTATTATGCACAATAACAGGATATATATTTTAGAGTATAATGTGATCAACCAGCACTGAAGCAAATTTTGAAGTGGAAGGTAAAAAATCGTTAAAAAGAAATAATCCGAATGGGTTTGTGGGTATTTCTGTTCAGTCCTCGTTTTACCCTACGTCCCTAAATAAAATCTTTATAGTTAGAATAGAAGTTGCTCTTCAGAAAAGGCCGTAGAGATTTGTTAAATTGTATAAGAAACGCATCATAAAGGCCAAGGAAGACACCAGACTGGTCAGAGATAAAGTTTTAGAGACTTGTTAGGATGAATTGGGCAAAGCTACCAAACCAGTAAGCGTCCAACCAACCTGACAGCCTAGTAAAGGAGAGAATTAATCAGAAAGGCAGCCTGGAGGCATCTTGCAACTCTTGAAACTCTAAGGTTTGAGAATTTGCCATCCACAACTGCTACTTGTGCCCTCTACAAATCCTTCCTTTTCAGAAACACTGACAGAATATCTATTGAAATAAAACCAGCAGAAATCCTGTTCTAGATTTGCCACAACCAGCTAAAAATTCAACATATTTGGGAGAAGTTGTTCTTGTCAGATTAGACAAATGTTAACCTTGTTTTTTTAAATGCGAAACTATATCCATCCATCCATCCATTCTGACACGCTTGCCCCGAGTTGGGTCGCGAGGCGTGCTGGTGCTTATCTCCAGCAGTCCATGGGCAAGAGGTGGGGTACACCCTGGACAGGTCGCCAGTCCATCGCAGGGCGCGAAACTATATTCGTGGACGAAAACAAACACGATTTTTTATATAAAAACTCCCATCCCCAGAGTGAAACACAGTAGTGGCAGCATCATGCTGGGGCAGGAAAATCTGCAACTGAATACAGAACAAAATAAAAAATTCGAAAGCCAAAATATGAAAACAAAAATGTGTTGCAAACTCTAACAGATAGAGTTGGGAACAGTTTAGCATGACGCTAGCTTTAAATGCTACAGTAAAGTGGGTTGTGTGTGACTTACAGGTGAGTGCAGCGAAGGTGGCAGCGGTGAGAAGTCGTGTTGGAGGATCGGCCTGAAAGTGGCCTGGGACATCCACACACCTGGCCTGATGCTGCCCCTCGAGTCTGGAGACTGCTACTACATGAGAGGTACTGCTCCTTTGCCATAAACAAACTCGCAGAGTAACAAACATGTTATCATGTGCAAGCTGATAACATGTGCAAGCTTGGTTGTTGCACATGTTGTTGTTGCACAGTGGTGCCGTGTTGTTATGGAGAAGGCAGGACTGTCATTACTCTGGGTTTTAGTGGATCCTTCTCCCTCATCCCAGATGACCTAGAGCAGTGGGATGAACTTCACTCTCACTTTTTCTGCGCTGGAGACAGTGTGTAGGTGTGTGTGTGTGTGTGTGTGTTGTTGTAAAAGAGACAGGGTGAGTGAAAGAGAGGTGTCTTGGCCCTGAACACTGAGCTTTAAGGTTCCATGAAATTGTGTGCATTAGAGAGGTTAGGAAAACCAAATGTTATTTTTTGAAGTCCTCTGACCCATTGGGGAGAACAGACAGCAGGCCACAGGGGTGTAAATCATGCCTTAATGCTTCTGGCTTCGGCAGACACCTCCACCCTCTTTTTTTTTTTTGTCCCCCGGGCCTGTCCAGGCTTGCAAGGACATTTATCCACATCACAGCGGAGGCCTGTGTTCAGATGTACATCAAGTGAGGAGTCCTGCCTAAATGGATGGGAGGATTTATTATTTCATGCAGGCACCCTGATTTGAGGAAGAGGTTTTTTTTAATTATATATCACTGATTAATATTTATTCATAATGTATCTGTTTGATTTTATTACCAATAAAGAAGCTATTATTACTGAAACTCAAAACACTTTTTGTCTTAGAAACAAACAACAACAAATATTTTTGTCATTGAAAATGTGATCGATGATTTTTTTTAGCTGATATTTTCAAATTTATGTTTAAATCTTGCAATGCGAGATTTAAAAAGAGCTAACATTTGTAGCTCTGTGGTGGATGATAGCATCCTAATTTTTTCTGACGGTCTTAATATCGCTGTCTATTTGATGATATCTAGGTTTCTATGAGCAAGATGGTTTTCTGATTGAAAAATTGTGCTTAGAATTCCTTAGGTGGCTCTAGGTACACGTATAGCCATCATGAGAACTTATTTATTGTCCATTTAGGACTCTTAAAAGATTTATTATTATTTGTTCCTTGTTACATCAATACATTTTTATTTTATTTTAGTGGATTCAAGAAAATTAGAATTGTTTGCAGAATTTTGTATCTATAGTTAAATTTTTCTTTGTTTCCTATTGTGTCAAAATGTACATAATAGGCACTTATACAAGTAGGATATCATGAAAAAATTCAAGGGTGAAATTTATACTGTAAGTAACTGTACAAAAAAAACAAAAACATATATATATATATATATATATATATTAGTGCTGTCAATCGATTAAATTTTTTTAATCGCGATTAATCGCATCAATGCCTGAGTTAACTCGCGATTAATGGCATTTTAATCGCAAATTTTTTTTCTGATTGAAAATCATTTAAATACTCTCGATGACATACAAAAAATACATACAGGCTAGGTTTGTGCCAATGTTCTTTTTTTAAAATGAAAACAGGTCACAGACACTGATTTATGCCATAGAAACATATGGCAAGAAGATGGGGAGGCATGTAGCAAAAAATAACAAATATGTAGCCAAAAAAAAGGCCCTGAAAACAGGCTGATGTAAAAGACAGTCTTTACAGTTAATACAGTCTTTTGAACAAAGACGAGCATTTTACCCTACTGCTATAAAATGTAGTACAGTTAACATTACATGTTAATTAACCAAGATAATAATGAACAATTTTCAATCAATACATCAAAATCAATAGACCGACATCACTAGATGGAGGTAGTCTATGATCTAGAAAGTTACTTTTCAGCCTCTTAACAAAAATGAGAACACACACACACCCACCCACCCACACACAGACACACCCAACCACACACACACACACACACGATACCGACCTGTGGCGTACACAGACAGCAAGAGTGCCGTAGCAGATTCCATTTCACCTCAGTAATCTGTTTTCTCAGCGTATTTCAGGTTGCTACTAGTTACCAGACACTCAATTTGTTTGTTGGTGGTGGGGCTTAAAGAAAAGGCACTAGCGTCACCCAGTGTATGAGCGTCTTTTTTCCTTGAGGAGCTCCGCTCTCGAAGCGTATGAGAAATGCATACACTGGGGGAAAATAGCCCCGCCTTTCCGCAGGCTGCAGCGGGATGTACTTGGAAAATTGTACCATAAAACCACATAGCGTTAATCTCACGTTAAAAAAATTATCGCAGTTAAAATGGCCTTGCGTTAACGCGATAATAACGCGATAATTTTGACAGCACTAATATATATATATATATATATATATATATATATATATATGTACAGTTCCCAGCATTGACTCAATGACGTTTAGGCATAAATTCAAGCTGGAAGGCTCCTACCTGTCATCCGTGTCCTCATTAAGAATCCTCACTCCACGCTTTTGTATCAGCCAATCATTTCTCAGAGCTCTGCTTTTAAAGTTCCAGATTCAAGAACACTCCTAACTTTCCTGCTGAACTGTAACCCTCCTCTTCCTCTTTACCACCTTCATTCCATTAGCCATATTATGGCTCCGCTCATTCTTCACCATTCATTACGTCTCTATACTACAGTAGATCTCTTAGCTAGATCTACCATCATCTACAGCAGGGGTCACCAACTGTTTTAAGGCTGAGGGCTACTTTATGGGTACTGAATCATAGGACGGGCTACCAATACTGACATATGAACTAGAGGAGTCGGCGTTCACCTGAACTTTATAGATAATAACCATATTTCTATTGTTTCTTTTCATTTTTAATTTGCTTTTAGATATTCTTATTATAAAATCCATATAAATCCTCAAATGTTCTAATTTATTGATATGATAAAATGCTTCATAAATGCTTCAAAATAAGAGCTTCAGTAAAAAATAACATTTCAGATTTAGTCCACTGGTGAATTGTTCTGTTTTCAAAGGATGCTGAGGGCACCCCATGTTGTCCTTGAGGGCCCCTTGGTGCACTAAGAGGCAGATGTCTCTGAGGCATCAGTGACAAGAGCTATGATAGAGGAGGAAAACTTTCAACCTTGAGAAAGGTGAACCAACTTTCATGCATGGTAACTGTAACATCATGCTGAGCTTTACCTTCACTGCCAGTGGTACTGATGCATTGTGCAAAGTAATGAAAGAGAATCACATTGATTGATTATATTATTTTTTTCCAGTACTGAGTGACAAATGCAGAGTGAGCTACATGCATTATTTACATAGAAAGGTGAATACACTGACATTTAAAGCTTGGGACCTTAGATGTAATTTAAAGTGTCTTAATGGAGATTTTTAAGTGTTTTTGATCATTAAATTCCTGAATTTACCCTGGATTAATGGTTGCATATTAAAAATATTTTGATCTATAAAAAAAGTGAAATACAGATTGTAAAGAATCCACTCTAACATTAAGTTTGGTAATGGAAGGAATACGAGTCAAAGCAAAACTGACTTTTTCATTCATAGATTGGAATTTCTTAATAAGTGCAGAAATACAATACAATACAAATCCTGCATTACTATGAAATATTTGGACAAATTCATACAACATAAAACCAAATGATGTAGGTAACCTACAACAGTGGAACTTGGATTAATCACCAACAGGTAAGAAGGAAGAAGATGATTCTGATGACTGACTGCTTTCATCACCCAGCACCACCGTCTGCCAAAATACAGCATGAAAGGCCTTGAAACTCTTACAATGAAACCGTCAGTTTCCTCCCAGCCATGATAATAGAGAGATGAGCTGCTGTGCAGACCCCCTCTAATGGGACTTGACTGTCGCGGATCAGTGGGGAGTTATGCTCCGCTTGGTGATTACGACCCTGAGAGGCCAACTGCTCCACAACGATAGCAGCTCGGTGTACCTGAATGAAACACTTGGCATGATGTGCAACGTATTCACTCAGCTATAAATCTGCAGAACTCACGTTGCACAGAGATGCACCAGCGCCCTACAGTATCCCCGGTTGGCGCAGTACCCCTCCCTCATCCAAAATACTCGCATTCAAGGCAGGCAAGCAAAGCAGGTGTTAAAATATATTCCACTTGTCTTTTTTGTGACATCCAGCCCTTGATCAGTAGTTTTGCTGTATTAAATGGAAACTACAATGGTGTATAACCGCATACACCATTATATAATTTCAGCACCATTTGTCGGCGGCTGGCCCTTTTGAACTGCTAATGTCTAAGCTGCTGGAGGCAAATTGAATCACCATCATTTCCACCCAAATGGAATTTCAGTGGTTAAAAAAGAACAATGCAAGTCTTGACACCGGGTCTGTTCAATAATCTGATTTCCAGCTCCCAATGCACAGGGGGGGAACTGCAGAAAAGAGTTGACCCAATATATTTAAAAGCCTGCTTCCTGGAAAAGGAGGACAAGTGGCAGCAGGCACAGGGGTTGAAAGAAAGATAAATATTTATTACAGTTATCGAGTTTGCCTCGACTCCCTCCTGATCCCACTGGCTGCATTAGAGGCGCCAAGAAAAGAGCAGATTGATGGAGATAATTTGTTATTGGATATAAACAGTTTTAAAGACGCAGAGTAATTCTGCCCAGAGACCTAATCCTTCACAATCTCATCAGGGTGAAGAAAACACCGGCAAGTTGGTTTGTTTGTCACCGTCTTCTTCTTCTCTCCCCCCCCCCCCCCCCCCCCCCCATCCTTCCACCAAACAATAATATCTTCCTCCTAAAGCATTTGGCTGTTTGACTTTCAAATCACAGGCATTAGCTGGTGTTCTCTTGCTCAAGGCGGGTGTAAATATGCACATGTGCTGTGAATGACAGCTCTGTCGTGGCTAAATTAATTATTGGAAAGAGGCAAATAATGGCAGAGCTAAGAAACATCTATCCACACAAAGAAACACATGGCGGGATACGCAGGAAACAGCGCTTAGACCTTACTGTAAAGCTTATGTGATATTGGACAAATGTTTACTGGTATGGTGCTTCCATCTTGACAGATTGAGTGCGATCTGGTTCTGTTTGGTAATTAAAACTAAATTACAGTGCTCTTCCCTCTATGAGTCGACGCCGGACCGATGGGAGTGTGTCTGAGTTGATTTAGTGGAAATAACTCCATGCTTTTCATCTGTTTTTCTCTTGTAATATCTTCCTTTTATTCAAATTAACAATCAATTCCACATAAATCTGCTCTCTTCTGCTTTTTGAGCTCCTAGGTCTAGCATCCTGTCTCCTCGTTTGGTGGCGTGCAGCGATGTTGTTTGTTTGGTCATGGTGCTGATGGGTTTTCTTTGTGTTGTGCTTCCCAGATGACCTGAACAGCACCCACCAGCACTGTGTCCTTGCTGGAGAAACGCCACGCTTCAGCTCGACTCACAGAGTGGCCGAGGTAATTTCATCTGAGAACATGTAGCATCCGCTTGAGCTTTTGATCGAGGAACTTTTCTGATTATTGAAGATTCACTATCTCATATTTAATAGTTTATTTTATCATAAATTATTTGAAATGTTCAGGGTTCATATTATACATTTCCTAAATTTCTTGTTTCCTTTTCATCTTTAATATTTGTGAGATTTTTTGTGTTCAATTTTTAGATATTCTAAATAAAATATACTTTTTTTTAAGTCATAATGCAAAAAAAAAAGCTTAATCCAATCCATTTGTTAATTTTCTATGATCATCATTAGCTGATTAAAGCCACATTAGTTTAATAACCTTTTACTTTCTTTATTCGTGTCATGCTGTTGTTTGTGACACTGGTCTCGTTCCTATCAGTGTTCTAAGGGGACCCTGACCTACATCCAGTCCCGGTGCCAGGAGGCCCTGTCCAACCTGCATTCTGACCCCGAGACGGGCTCCCACAGCCTGGTGACCCTGCAGCTGACAGCGTTACAGCACTGTGAGGAGATTCACAATGAGGTGGGGGCATGCTGGCTGTGTTTTTAAACTTCAAGGGCACGTGAATACAAACATTTGTTTTTGATTTTCCTCCGTGCACACAGTTAGATTGGTAGCTATTTCGGATAAAGTTTTAGAAGGCTATTTGAGTTATATTAAATTCTCCCAAATATGAATATTCCAATTATCAGAATTAGCACAATAATCATTTGCAGAGAAGAAATGGTCTACAGAAGTTTATATTTACCTCTCTGAATCTATCAGAGTGCCCCCAATTCTTTAATCCCCACCCATCTGGTACTGCAAGCAGGTTCAAAACAACTAAGATCCATCTGCAAATAAGATGATGATGATTTAATCCGATGAGCAGAAATTGGTGTTGTTGAATTCACTGAAATTCATTGTCTGCAAATAGCAGGGATAAGCGTCTAATTAAAGATGCAAATGTATTAGAACAAACATATATGAGTGCTTCTTGTGTCATATGGATATAAACACCTGTGATTTATGTGTTTTTGACGTTCAGACAAGAACCTACACAATGCATCAATTTCATTGTTTAATTCGATTTTTAATCCCTGTATTTTCAATTCATACTACACATATTTTATTTACTATTTAAGTCATAAACTGAATTTATGAAAGAAGAAAGAAAGAAAATTCCACCAATTTTAAAGGCGTAAAATAAAGTAGCTTCAATGCAGTTTTTTTCATTTACGGATCTTTGTTTTTTTTTTCTTTTTCCCAGCATCTTTAGAGTATTAACTAATACTGGGAATCGTTTCAACGCAGGTTAAGGCTCTCTAAATGGCAGAAAGGGAGCTCGCCAGCTGCCGCTCTGCTTACCATACCTAGCTGCTATACTAAGTGAAATGTCTAAAATCTAAAATCCAGGTTGCTCTCATTTGTCCCGGCTTGTGATGGATTGCAAGCCAATAGGCTTTCCATATGTTTCCTAAAGATAGAGCCATGCCCCTGTCCGGTTTCTAACCTCTTTCTATATAAACAATGAGGGATGCTGGCTTGGGGTTCTGAGGGATAAAGTGAGGTCAAAAAAGAGAAGGCCTCCTGCCTCTTGCCGTATCTTGCTGCAGGCCAACAGTTAATATAACTTCTCACCTCTCACCCTTTTTACACCCGAATGCCTGAATTGCAGATCCGAGCAGACGCAAGCATCCAGGACCCTCAGCAGGATGCCATGACAGATGAGTCTGACATAAGGTTGTTTAAAGGTTGAAGACAATATTAAGTATTCAGCGCTGCCAAACAACGGGGCTTTCTGCATCTGGGTATCTGGTGCACCCTTTGAGCTGGGAACAGCTGGAAGATCGGCACATAGCACCACAGGATTACCAGAAGTTGCCTTTTACCAGTTGGGTAGGGGATGTTTATTTAGAAAAAAAACAAGGAGCTTTTTATCCAAGCATCGCTGTGCAGGGTGTGTGTGCGTGTGCGTTTTAGTGCTTAAGTAAGAAGGCGGTGTTCTCAGGGGCTTGGGCCTACCTTTCCCGGCTCTCGCAATGATCGATGTGGCCATTTGTTTGGAGTTGCCCACGAGAGCAGAACACCCAGCTAAATGATGTATTGTTGGTAGAGTTATTTATGATGGCGGCCCACTTTGGTGCTTGGTGGGTGCACATAGCGTAGGTCTTGTTTGACATGGACGACCAAGAGTGAACAAGTCTGAGACACGCGGGAAACCTGACCTATGCGGCGCCTTTTGGGTCTTTGCTCCGACGGTACAAAACCGCACACCAGCTGACAGTCTATTGATGCTGTGTACTTGAAGGGGGGGGGGCTGTTGTCACAGGATATAGGTGGGGTCTGATGGTAGCATCTGCCATCTGTCTGTCTTCGTTTGGGGCTGAAGCAAGGTGCCTAATTGAAGCAGATATTGAAGTGGGACAGAAGCTGAAATCAAGAAAAGTTCCCACCTGTTTAGTCCTTTTCTCTCTGTCTCTTTTTAATCTTACCTGCTGTCCTAGTCAGTCAAATAAGTCAAACATAATACCACCACATGGCCCCAGTGTGCATGTTTGGCTTTGAAATGCTAATCCCAGACACAAATGTCTTGTCTCATTTAAAGCCACTATGTTTCTTCCCAGGTGGGTGTATGACAGAGTGCCCTGAGGGACACCCCCCCTCCCCTCATATGACGCTACACTCCCAATAGTAAATATTGAAGGAAGCAAATAAGCTTCATATCTAACAGAAAGTAAACAGAATAAAATATGTTTAACCTTCTAGCTTCCCGTTTTAGGGTCATCAGGCCTCCTCAGGGCATTCCATTCTTTACTTGGTTCTGAAACTCTTTCTTCTGTTTCTTTCACGTTACAGTGATAAAAATCATTGTATGCTTTTACATTACTGTTAATTTGTATATTGTGGGTTTTTTTCTGTAGTCTCTACGTCCTTTTATCCTTATCAGTTTTTTTAAACTTATATTTTTAGGATTTGTTTCTGAAGTTTATAGATGCAATGCACTGAATGTGAATATCATCAAAAAGTTACATTATGTAGTAAATTGTATCAAAAGAGAAAATCAGATATTTAGCTTTATTCGTGATATACTAATTGAAACATTTATTGGAAAATCTAACAATAATGAGAACCTAAAATCACTTTTGTCTAAAGCTATAACATTTTAGAGAAAACTTTTCAACGTGCAACAATAACTGTATAATACAGTTATTTTTGCAGTGTAGTTGGACAGAGCTTCTTTTGGATGAAGAGCAGTTCAGTGGGGAGGGAGGAGACATGTTATTGGTGAGGTTTAGAAAGCTCTGCTGGTTTGAATAGAAACTTTCTCTTGTTCTAGTAAAACACACCAGGGTTGATTCCTTGGTTGAAGTTGGTCTTTAACAAAAGAGCAAAACTAGCAGATGATGAGTTAATGTGACTCCCCAACTCGTCACTGTTTGTAGAAACCTTTAACTTGACCTCAAGCAAGTATTTTTTTAGTGCTTCTCTTCCATTATCTCTGATTTTTCCAAGACTTTTTTCAGGTTTGGGTCCGTCTTATCATCGAGGATAGGGATGGGACAATTTATGAAAACCGTCCGAACCGTTCGGTTCGACCGTCTCGGTTCGATTCGCAGGTGTTGCGTTCGGTTCATGCGCTGTTCCTTTTTCTCATAGGCGAAGCGTTTACACTCCAGAGCAGAAGGTGGCGGTACTGTGACCAATGCCAACCACCAGTAGTAAACAAGAAGAAGAAGAAGCAAAGCAGCGTAGCCGGGTGTAGCAGAAAAAAATCAGTTGTTGTGGAGAATTGTGTGGGTATGGCGAGTGGGAAAGAACAGGAGTTGGAAGACGCGCCAGCAGCACTTTATAGGTCTGCTGTATGGGACCACTTTGCATTTAGAGTGACCTACGATGACGGCGGAAAGAAAGTTGTGGATAAAAGTGCAACAGTGTGCAAGCATTGTGCAACACGTTTTGTTTATGCTAACAGCAACACGACCAACATGTCAGGCTAACAATCAACATATACCGAACCGAAAACCGTGACCACGGAACCGTGAACCAAACGGAACAATGGATTTTGTGAACGTTCCACCCCTAATAGAGGAGTTGGAACATATGTCCTGGATGTGTCCATGTGTGGTGGCCCTCAGAAATCTGCACTACACTCTAAAATAGGCTTTACTTCACTGGCCTCTCTTGGCTGCTTGTTGACCTTTTTCCTTCCACTTAACTTTCCATTCATATATTTTGACCATCTCTGATTGTTCAATATTGAATTTGAATAACTTAACATTTCTAATAGAGGTTTTAATGTGAATGAAAATTTCTGCTGTGTTTTAATTTATTTAGATGTAGGTGTTGGTGTCTCACCGTACTTTACAATTAAAACCAGGATTGAAGTGTAAATGTATTGATATAGTTTGAAGATGGAATGTCAAAGTAACACTGGAAAATAACAAAATATCTTTTTTTTGTGAGAGCAAATCCAATTCGATCATCTTTACAGTAGATTTTGCAGCTTGAGGCTCACACCGGTGAGTGATAAGTGTTTGCAGACCCACAGAGAGTTAGAGGAAAGCAGTTATTCTGGCCATGGTGTAAGGAGGCTGGGATTGGTAAACAGAGAGGGATCGATCACGCTCTCATCAGCCCTCACCTCAGGGCCCCGGCCCCGGAAATTGATTGGACCCGCTCTGGGAATACTGTGAAGGTGTGAGGAAAAAAAAAATAATTGTGCCTCATTAAATGGGGAATAAAAGTGGTTTTCTGAGCTTCACCAGCAGAGTCGCCATAGTGGGTGGTCGCTGGCCTAATTTGGAGCTAATGTATAGTTAGTGTGTCCATCACCTGGAGAGATGACAGCGACTGCCGCAGGGGAGCCAGCCTCCCTTACCATCTCAGAGAAAAACTCAGCCTAACAGTCTCTCTCTTTTTCACGGAAAGGTGGCATTTAGTCTGAGTTTCCTGCTTGGCAGCTCTCAGCTGGGTGGCTAGACTCCAAATACCAAATAGCCGGTGCTCCTCAGCGGCTTTCAGATGGCCTGCTTTGTGGTTGCCTCTGGCCTGCGCTGTGGGGGACAGGCAGCCATGTCAGCTCAAAGTGGAGACACAGGTTGGTTTCTTCCCACCAAAGGAAAAGCAGACAATCAGAGAGATAGAAGGAGGGACAGCCTGGGAGAAAAGGACGTCCGATATATTGGCCCTCGCAGCTTTGTTGTGTGTTTGAGCTGTAGTGATCGAAGGGGAGTGGATTTGGAGTGTGTTGAAGGGACCATAAAGGATGACATTTCTTTGAAGGGTGTGTTGTATGGAGCGACTGGGAGGCTGCTGAGCAGTGCCACTGGCTGTGTATTCTCCCTGACATGCAGCAGTCCTTGCATGTCATCCCCGCTGTGATCAGAGCCTTTTGGGAGTAAATGGCAGGATGACTGTGTGCACAGCTTCCACCTCAGACAGCTCTCTCTCTCAGGTTGTTTGTGTAAATAGTTCTCGTCCTTTGTTGTTTTGGGGGTGATGGAGGGGAAGGTGACTCTCTTCTGACCACATTAAAATGT